GCATGATGTCAAGCCCGCAGAAACAAATATTTAGCTTAGTTTTAATATCAACGCATATCAGTCAAATACATCTGAAGTTGTAGGGCATGCTGGATCATAAAAAAAGTCATCTATTTGTTAATGAAATCTACAAAATTCTTTGGAATCGCTGCACATTCGTTGGAATCATCATGAATGACACTATTGTTCCTTCCAATAGATCTCATTCACAGACTAGGTTAGGTGTTTGTCTCACTAAGAAAACTGTTTGGTGTGTTTCAATTACAAGGTGCTCTTCATGTGTGGTGATTATGATCTTGTAGTAAATAATAGCTTACACCCATTTGGATGTGTGTTTTTTTTGCATTCCTGTCAGCTCGACAGTCATTTGATGTCTCACAGGATTCACTCGCTGATGGGTTCAGTCCACTCGACAAAAGCGTGATATATTTATGTGTGTAATTTAAAATGCGCCAAGAAAATGAACTCGATCTTCGGGTGATGTGCTCCATTATTAGTCTCCATTTTGAATTTGTAAGGGACCTTATTGATAGGAATTTAACGTTAGGCCTGAACAAAGATTTGTCGAGACAGATTGCGCAGTTGAAATGGATAGGTTCTAGATATGCATGCCATGTCGCTTTGATGTTGACGTGCCCCCTTTGAATGACGCATAATATTATCTGGCTGAATGCGTCGTTAGATAGCAAACACATACTCTACACGCAAGTTGAGTGGCGAATGGGTGCTACCTGTGGAACGGAACATATTTATCTCCTTAACGAACACCTACGATTTATCCAGCACTATTGTACCAACAATATTATTCCCAATGGAATCATTTTTCGGTTGATAATCTACAACAAATAGAACTGATTATTTTCTTCAATCTTCAACCACGGATGTAATGTATGAAGATACAAAGTAGTTAGCCGTACGAGGTACGCTTTCAAACCTAACACGATGAGACGTTGGATTCTTACCTGACCTCCGCCATTCCTCCTGTAACGCCACTGCAAGTTCTCCAAGCGTCTGCGGTACTCGTTGACGTTGACGTACACGTCGATCCAGCTGATCCCAAAGATGTTCTATGGGGTTCATGTCTGGGGACCTGGACGGCCATGGCAAGATATTAATGTTCTCATTGGCTAGGTAGGCCATTGTCACACGTGCCGTATGGGGTCGGGCGTTATCTTGCTGTAAGATCTATCCTACCGGTGTATGATATAGCACCCCACATCATAACACTACCGACACCGAAGCGATCGATCTGTCGTACGCAGTTGGGCGCGTAACGTTCATTCCTACCTCGGTACACATGTTGTCTTCCATCATGGCGTTGCAGGAGAAAACGTGATTCATCACTGAACCATATTCTCCTCCAGTTAGCCAGATTCCAGGGCTGTACGGTGGTGCACCAACGGAAACGTCGACGTAGATGTAGACGGCGCAACACAGGCCCAACCATAGGGCGTCTCGCTCGAAGTCCCGCCTCTCTCGGATTGCGGATTGTTTGGTCGGATACTCGACGTCCTGCTGTATCCGTGGCTGTGGCTTGCCGATGACGTAGGTGGAACACCTGGATGTACCTATCCTGAGCAGGATTGGTCACTCGTGGTCGTCCACTTCTTGGGCAATCTCGCGTCAAATTGAATGCTGTATAGCGGACCCATAGCCGATGTTGTGCTTTGGTGGACCTTATAATGACGTGCAACGGCAGACTGGCTTTCCCCAGCATCCAGACGTCCAATAGCAAAGTTCCAGTCAGCGGCATTCAGTCTTGGCATTTTGCGTCGTTCATTCCTCATCAATATTTGTGATACAATGGAGTAAATGTATCGGGCTTTTATAGCCTTGTCTCTACTGATGAATTCCACTCATTTCACGTGCATTGTGATCAACATGTGCGTTGCCCGCGAATTTCATGCATGTTCTTCACAATTGCTGACAACAGTAACATTATTTTTTTCTGGTTGTGTTTGCGCGACATAACCATAAAATCACATACATCACATCATTCAAACATAAACATAGTCTTTAGATCGATTTCCGATATGAAAATGAAATAGAAAAATCTCAATCCCCTATGCGTTTCTTTTGTTTGAAGAGTGTATATTCCTTTTTTCAGAATTCAACTAGGCTTACAGATTATTTGAAAGTTCAGTACAGGAGCCAAACGTAACTCACATCCACATAAGTGCAGAAGTGCTGACACAACCTGCAAAACCAAAGAAATCCAAAAAAGATCCCCACAAAGTCAAACGCAAACGGAACATTTTAGAAAATTTTCAGAAAATCGTCTCGGCTCTCCGTATTTCCAAGGGGGGTGCGTTCTTATTCATCTCCGTAATAGAAAAGATACAAATTTCAGGTTATCAGCATTTGATGAATTTGCAGATAGAAGTCTGAAATGTTTGATTGGTGACGGGTCCCTCTACACAGATGTCTACAGGCGAAAATGGTTAAGAGAATACTCCAAGTTTGAGAAATACATCAACATCATTGTCCTTACTGTTAGTGCAGGCACCGGCGTTGCAACAGTAGAACCAAACACAAAGGTAGGATCTGATCACGAAGTCGTGGACCCGTACTTCTTTGAACTACTTACTCTTCTTGGAAAATCTGACAAAACGTCACAAACTGAACCTCGAGTAATCGCAAGCAATGCATTATTCGAGAGTCGCAGTTTACAGCTGAAATAATTTCCAGAAGATCAAGGAAGTCTTCTCGAAGATGGAAAAGAATCTGAACTTGCTGACTTTATATGGAATACCCAACGTTTTAAATACTACCTGAGCTCATTTTCCAAACTGTACGAGGGTGGATCTTACTACTCGGGAGTTGCCGAGGCAAAAGCGTCTTCAAATCCAACTGTCAAAGGGATTCATTTCCAAGGAAAAGAAGACAAACTGAAAGAAATTTAAATAAAAGTTAGAGAGTGTTGTGATTCTTAGTAGGGATGGTGCAGCTCAGACAGAAAGTTCTTGCGAAAACCTCATTCAAATCCATCTGCACCCATTGAGTGACAGTGACAACAAAGTGCTGGAGATAGCTGTACGTTTTGTTCCTGGAATACTATTTTATGACAATGGACCTGAAGCCTACAACATCGTATCCAACGACATAAGAAAAATGACGTTCGGTGAATGGTGCGAAAGATTGATGGCCATGTGTCGACAATAAATTGTGTAAATTCGGTTGAAACGTGGTTTATATCTCTTTCTGTACAATGTCGTCTGATGACAGTGATTCAAGTTTATCCTCATTATCTGATGCCGATATCACGTACTCCCCATGCGAGTTGGAATATATGAGTTCCACTTCAGATGATGACGACAGTTGCATGCATGAACAAGAACCTAAATATACTTTCGTGAAAGGTACAGCTATTTGAACTTCTCTACTGCTTACAATTTTTAAAATTTCACACACCACATTTTGCAGATGTGTCATTGTGGTTTCAGCGAGGCTGATTACTATCTGACGTTTGGGTTCCACATTAATTTTAATTAATACATGTTCAACAGTTGATGACAGTATGTTAAGACTAATTATACAATGTTCTGCCTGATATGTAAGTAAAGCATACGATCTTAAAAGTAATAAGTAAATACAACAACTTAATACTGTACTGTAGCTAATTAAATGTTATCTGGTTGGTTTGTAATTGCAGCCAAGGAGACTTCAGAGGTCAAACAGCTGTACGGTTCTTTCAATCTTGACGCAATCAAGGAACTTGAAACATATTTCAATGGCCTCACAAGGACAGACGGTGAGCATTTAACGTATATTTAGGTGTATGTCTATTTCTAGAATGAGGTTACAGAAGTACTTCAGAAGTCAGAACAAACCATCTCCATTCATCGTTCTTGCATGCCAAGCCTTGGGCAACATGACAGATGGAGAGCTATAAGAATGCTTTAGTCTCGCAGTGTGACGTCCCTATAAAGAAACACAATCTGACACTTATATATCTATATCATATCCATTGAAATTTGCTCTGATATTTTTGTCATGTGATGGATCAAGTTCATAGCCTTAAACACGTTTGTTTTACGCCTTACCTAGGAAAACATTCTTGTATGTCAGTGACCCTGGTACAAAAGTTACTAGACTCATATTTGCTCCCAGTGTCAGACACTCACATTACGCGGGCTAGTAGGATACCACTCGGTACAAATCATTTTTCACTTTTCATATTTCTTTTTTCATAAGTTCTTGGGTGGCGTTTGTTGAGAGAGACCAAGTTCACATATTTATTGTGGTTGCTGTAAGCATATGCTTTTCTGTTTTTCACTTTCCTTTCACACGATAAACGATATAAAGACCAGAAGTGGATTTCACGGCGTTCATGGTGTAGTGACAATAATACGTTGTTTTTGCTTTCACGCAGGCAAAATGAGATTATTTCCCAAGTCAATGGAACAGTTTGTAGCAAAACAACATCCAAAGATTTTGGAACATTTGAAGAATCTTGACTTTAAAGACGTATTTGTGTACTTAGGAAGTACATTTGTCGTTACTTTAAACATACACAATGAGAGGATACAAATTCCTAGAAGGTTCATCTGTGATGCGTTAGTGTTTAGCAGCAACAAAGCCGTTTTGGTACTTAGCTTTGTCAAACGTCAAACAGAAATGGTCAGGAGACTTGATATGTATAACAACTTTGTTGCCCGAGGTGTGACGGAAGCTCTGAGAACATTTCTGAATGACATCAGTGTTGTTAGAGGTGTCATAGAAGAGGGGACCAATCTTAGCTCTTGTCTTCCTGAGATGGAGAAACAGACAATGTTTTTCCATCCCAGCTCAATCTCCATGGATCAGGACAAACGGGATGCAGCTGTCAAAGCAATTCTTAAGTCTGTTGCAGTTACCCAGGCAGCAATTGTTTACACGCCATCTGCGTATGGTGCCAGTGGAAAAGGATTATGCTTCTTAAACCTCAGCGAATTTGATTTTTTATCAGAGTTCATAGACATTAATAACACCACCTTCATGCATACCATTAAAGGACAGAAGGACATTATAGCACTTGAGACAGCAAGCAGGATATCCAGAAGAGGCAAGACAGCTATTCATGTACAACACACTGGTCATAATGAAGCATTGAAGGCTCACAGGTAAATACCGTCGTCATCACAATGTCTTAATTAACATGACCAGCATTATTCATTTAGACAATGAGACACCTGATGTGTTTTGTATGAGCATAAATGCATAAATGTTGCAGGTTCAGAATTCAAATAAAGGTTCTGGTGTCATTTTACTGAATACAATTTATCTGATACAGGGACAAACATCCGAATTTAGATGTCTTCACAGCTGGAACTGATATTGATTGTGAGAAGTATGAACACATTTTTGCTGAGAAAATGAGTTATATCAAAGGGAATAAAATGAGTGGCGGAAATATTTGCATCATTTCATCTTCAAAATCAGGTGAGCAATTCATTAAAAAATAAAGAAAATGGGTGTATATGAACATCAGAAAGCATGTGAACGTTTACATTAATTATTGTCATATAGTCTGGTAATTTGCAAACCGTGTTCATGCTCACCGTTTGTAGTTTTCCTAAAATATTAAACTTGTTCTCTAGGCATTCTTTGGATCGGCGCATTAAGGAAACCAGTAAATCAAAACCGAAATAATTATCATGTCGTCATGTGTAAAAGTGTTTCAGATTCAGAGTAAATTTCAAAGTTTAAATGGGCAATAATAATTGCAACATATGAACATTTAAATCAATATTTATGTAATTGGGTGATTATTAAGTGTAAATGCATCGTCCATGGTCACAATTTGCAATTTTGATAAAATGATAAACTTTCTCTTTTGGCCATGGGCATAACCAATATGAAACCGAGACAGCTTTTTATAGCATTTTATACCGTTGATAGTGTATCAGATTTACTGTGTACTTGAAAGTATTTCTTTTTCCTTTTCCTTGTGAAAAATACAGGTACCTCTGTGCACCATTCGAACGTTAACATTGACTTGTGACAGTCAGATATGAAGATCTTTCGTAGCGGATGATCTCCAACGATGCTTAATTGTTACAGTTGTTTTTTATCTTCGAATATGTTGCGTTAATGTTTTGCTAACCTGTGCATTTGATATACTGTAAATTTCAAGCTAACAAGCAGTTTGTTTATTTTGATGTAACAGATTCCATACCTTTGAAGAAATTTACTAAGAGTCATTCCAGTAAATCTTTTCTTCAACGATTGTTCGGAAAGAGAGCTACTGTGAAAGTAAGTTGTAAGGTGCATGAATGGTGTACCGGCGGAGAACATGAAAGTGCATTAGCATTAAAAGTACAACAAACTGAGTTACATATCATGATGCTATCATCATAGGCGCTATCATCATAGGCGCACATGTTGCCTTGGCCAATACTGTCTTTCCGGAATGTAGTCATACCAACATCCCTTTGCTCATGGTTTCACGATCATACTCTGTTGTAAATGATGTAAAGTTGTAAATGTCCAGAATCTATATCTATAACAGTGTTCTCTCCAGTTTCATTAACAGTCTACGCGCTAGTAAAAGTGACCAGACCCAACCCACTCTTTTCATGACTTATTTTAAAAGTTCTTATCTTTTTAGATATCTCAAGGGCCTGTTGGACGGGGTAAGTAATATATAATCAGGTCGTAATATGTTGCTCCCTCTACACATAAAATAAAACAATAGTTCAACGTAATTGTGCAGTATTCACGCGTGATTGACTAAACATTCATGGTAACGGGAGAATGTATCATGTCACCACTTACATTTTGTATCTGTGATACGACCTTTAGACAGCATGGCATACCAATCAAACAATCACCTAAGTATTTATGCCAGACAGGAGTATGCCAATGGAAGGTGAATGAGGACAACGTTCCGATATGTGTATTCTTCTTTACTTTTACACCACACGAGATAGCTCTTTGAAATAATTACAGAATTCCAATTCATGCTGGGAGTTCTCTTATACTGTATAAATTGGGGGATTTTGTTGTTTCACTTCAGCCACATCTTAATCACGACAGCCTGAAAATAACCAAGTCTCAACAAGACCTTATCTTTTTTAATACATCTGTATCCACGGTTATGTGGATATTCACGAAGCGCATGCCAGAATATTTTCTTTCCAGATCGGTAGTTCCTGTCGATGCCGAATTTGTCAACTACTACCACAGAGGAATTACCATCTGGGGAGCTGTATCAAGATGACGGAGTACTAGTATGTCTTGTCTTTAATTTTCCCTTATGAAGATGTATAGTTGGTGACACTTTTTTCAAAACACAACGAAGTCATGTCTTGCAGTGCCTTATTATACAATTTATATTTATCGTTCATTGTTTATTATTTATATTTGTTTATAACAATGCGTTTGTATTTAGAAAACAAACTCAAACAAAACAGTTTCCTTTTGAAAATCTTTTGTGCTGTTAAGGAGACAATGTTTCTTGTTGAGGTCATATTATTGATTAAAATGGCTATTGCTTACTGGTCCGAGTACCTATATCCTGTCGTCTGTGCTGGACCAGAAACGTCTTTTAATAAGCTCTATTATTACAGGGAATCACCCTCGTTGCCCATAAACGACTGAATGAACCAGAGGTTAAAAGAAGTTCAGTCTTAACAACAGTTACGACTGCAGCCAAATTATCAACGCAACCTCATTCCTTTCTGCCAAGTGCCGAGGACACTGAAGTGAGAAAATGTAAGTATTAAAGTATACCTACATCAAGGCACGCTACGGGGGCAATTTTTCCATTTATTGTTAATGACAACATACTAAGGCTTCTCATTCTCATTTTTTTTATTCTACGGTAGTGTTTCAATATTTAATGGCACTGTTATTTGCAAGTAGACAGGATACAACTTCAGATGGATACCCATTGCTCAGTTTGCTCAACAGCAACTCTGCACTACCAATTACGGAGCCTTCGACAACTGGGTCACGACTATGACCGATTTATGATAATGTTATTAATGTTTGATCATGAGCCAATATGGTTCAATTTACCAAAGTACCTAGATTCTTACACGTGTCTTGGGGTATTACGGTGTCTGATCCTAATAAAATGTTGCATTTCGGTACCTTAATAGAACTGAAACTCAGGTGCATTTATACAATGAAAGATAGCTTAAGGTGGCAGTAAAAGAATATAATCATTTTATTTACTTATTTTTGTTTTAGGTGCACCAGATGTCCAGATCAAGGTAGGTTTTCGATAAAACCTTGTTTTGTGACATTAACCTATATGCATTTCTGTTTTTGAAATGTTGCTAAACACGTAAATGACTTTAATAGTTTGGTTCCCATACAGTTTGCTCTCTCACTGGAGGCCGAATTATGCTCACTGTTGTTTTAAATGACACTCATTCTTGTCATACCTGCGTTTATGTCCAATGTTGATCACGCTGTGAAGCTCCCCACTGTATCTCTGGGAAAATGCTGATAACCATATTTGCCGATTTCATTACAGAGACAAAGTTCGACGGCATCAGAATCAGACCGAGAATATGACCAGGATAGTTTCACAACTGACATTTCCTATGGTGGAGGATCTATAGGAAGAGTGCCTTCCGTTTCACGAACTTCTTCTTCAAGTGGTTATGTCAGTAACTGTGAAAGTCCACGAAGATCCGATAAATGCCCAGAAAGACAGGATGTCAACATGGATTCTTAACAAATCCATCTAAGAGCAATTATTTCAAGTAATTTCAATTGTAAAGAGGTGATAATTCACACGTCTATAGACAAAGAGTTCGCCAACACAACAGCAGCCTGTATTGTTGTGTTTCTGTATGCAAATAAAGAAATGAGCCCCGTTTATTACTCCCTGGAGTCTCTACTACGTGCCTACACGCAGTGAGAGCTGCTACTTGCCTATTCAACACTTTGAGTGCTGCAACGTGCCAAAACACTTTGGCCCTAATAGCAAATTACAGTACGATGTCACTCGAGGAAACATCTTGGTCGCATTTTATAACCGATTATCAAGACAAAATCTGGTTCCAGCGAGAATTAAACTATCGAGTAATCGTCAGACCATCTGTATTTAAAAGTAAAAATGTCTCGGATTTGATTAAATTGTCAATTTTGTCGCCCTATATTATACAAATTTAAATAGTCTTCATGTTGCCATTACTTACTTGATGTATTGACCTCTGTAAGCCCTCATTATGTTATGTATGTAGCCTTGAGAGAAAATAAGATCAGTTCAAAGAATAGAGAGAGTTTATATCTCGCTCTACTCGCTGTACTCCCTTTAATTAGGGTAGCCTAATTATCAAGCGACCGCTCGTCACGCTGCACCACACAAAATGACTGTATTGCCCACATTTACTAACGTTAGGTAATATACGTTTCATCCGGCGGCCATATGTACAACGTTTGAAATCTACGTATCATCTGGCTGTCAGATTTACACACGTTTAAAAGGGTGTTTAAATTAACGTACACTCAACTCTGTACTTACATGTATTTCACAGGTGTGTAAATCTGGCCATTGTTTTCATGTGTTTTCTAGCATGTGTAACATATGTAAATGCTGTGATTGTAGGACATGCATTTTAATACCTTTGAAATCTCGTATGACCAGGGTTAGGTTTGCCATATACTTAGTACACGCGTAAATGGTTGGTAATGGATAAATAGTGTTACAAGATTTACACTATTTTAACATGTATTTCAATGGTTCTGTAATGTAACTTTCGCATATGGTTCGTTAGCGCGTCGGACCACGCCATAATGCACGGGGGTCATTAGAAACACATGGCGAAGTGATACCCATGACTGAGCACCGCTATCAACGTGCCTGCCTTTCTTGACATACACATGATGTCTGTTTAAAAGGTTCAAATATTGGGTTTGTGGGCTAGAGCGATATGTATGTTAGGGAGTGTGTGTGTGTGTGTACATGTGTGTGAGGGGGAGGGGTGTTTGATGGGGCAGGCCTAGGGTGGGGTGATGGCGGAGGGTACTGATAAGCCTTTCTGCAGCTGGCCAGTAGGTAATACCGTTTATACTTTTTGCAATGGAAATTACATTACACTTTAAATAACTGATCTTAGGTACACTTCTTATATATAACATGCAAGGAGAGACTGCTTATTGCAATAAAACACAGACAGATGTGTTCACACAGACATGAACCGGTAGGTCCCCAATTTTAGTGCACACCTGTATAAGTTATCAGACTGATCATAGCCGCACAAATTTTATTATCTATTCTTTTAAAAATGATGATTACAATGTATTAATGATTCCCGGTGTAAATTACTGTTGTAAATGTGTAAACATGCATAAACGTACTTGGTATAGCCTCTCTTTTATTCGGAATCTAGATATTATCCCATACGGCCTTTTTCTAAAATGTCAGTTCCCCGACGGAATATACATAAGTGTACACCTATTTTGATTCCAGTTTTAGGGTAGATTATAGAAAATTCTTGTGATTACAATTAGTTCATAAGCTTAGGTAACTACGCAGTTTCGATAATTACTGGAAGTTTACCACCTCACATCATTTGTTACTCATGCGTTTTCATTTTTGCTTTTTGCTCTCTGATTTGTTATACATTACATAATTATTGTAATCATTTTGGCATCCCGATATCATGGAATAAATGTTTACTTATTAATCTATCAAAGTGCCAAAACTTATTGTCTGTATGTGTTACTGTTATTGAGTGAAACTGTTAAATGTACCTTCGTACAGAATTTCCAGGACATAGAAACTGAAAAAAATTGCTAAATAAATGGAAAACTAAATTTGATAAAAATTGCAAACAATTATTATTCATATACCAGTTTTAAAGTATCAGTGTGCAGATGTTCAATGGATATTAAGACCAAGTAAATTGGAAGATTCACAGACTAACAGTATTTCTTTACAGTATTTCCTTACAGACATATATGGAAAATTATTTTTACGGGTATGGAACGAATGGGGTAAAACATCTGCAAAGCATCTGAGTCAGCTGAGATTATCCTTTAAAAACATCATATGTACATTTAACAATTACTTATCATTAATTGCAACCAAAGCATTACATAAATGCCATATTTCCAGACAGCATGACATCACCTTTGGCCGGAGTTCCAAATATTTGACATCGAAACCTGTCAGTTAACGCAAAGGAAATAACCCTTGCGTTTTACAATGATGCCTTAATCATAGTCACAATGAAGCATAGGTTGCCATGTGTTTTGCAATATGACTGAGTCAGTGAAATACTAATATTTACCAAATAAAATTAATTGTAATGAAGCCTTTCTTTAAGCAGTGACTTAACGCCATACATAGCTAGACTTGCTTAGATCATTAAAAAAAAAAAAAAAGGGAAAAAAAAACACACAATAAAAACCTAACAACTTCATGCAAGGCATCATAGATATTTCACAAACATAGTACAGGACCCTTCCCCTCATCAGCGTATTGTCTCACCACTTGCAAATTAAGCGTTCGCAGATGTAAGGCGTTAGCACTACAGTAAGGGCAGGGCGGAAGGGGAAATAATATAGTTCTGTGACTGTGAGACACTCTGGGAAAATATGTGGAAAACCAAATATTTTGGACAATAGACCATTGTTTGGGTATTTTAATTGTAAATATGATTCAAATATCTTAGCCTAAATTTCTATATCCTTACATGTAATTCAAAAGTATAACAGCGCGAGTATTCATTTTGTCTTTTGTCTTCTACCCGACCTTACTAGACTAACAACTAGTCTCTGAAATGAGCATATTTTACAGAAAAAAAGGTCATAGTAAAAAGGAAAAATATAATAAAAAAGGAGCCCTGTGACATTCTCCTGAAGCTGTGGAAATCTAGACTTGCCACATTTTCTAGACTTGCGTGGGCTTGGATATATTTGCTTCAGGGTCTGTATGACAGACTACGTCCCTACATACGCTCAATCACATGTGTCTCCAGGTCACGGAGAATCATTGGTGCAGGGACCCGTATTGCAATTCTCGCGCGTTTGCATGTGTTGTTGACGCTGCATGGACGCATTGAAACATAACTATTTGATTATGATTCACAAACATATGCTCATGATATGGTCGGAATCATGCCACGGATTAGCAGATATTTATCATGAAAACAGGTTTTTATGTAGGTGGCTTGAAACTTGCTTTTACAAAGGCCAATAGATTCGATCACAATACTTTTCGTTTAACAACTTCTTTTCTCTTAACATGCTGACCTCAAAACTGATTTAAATTCTAATCGCTGATTAAAGAGTAAGACAATAAATAGTATGTCAAATTATCGTTACCATGACAACCCTGTGATATTTTACCTTATGTAAGAGAGCTATAAATACGATGCTGGGTGTGGCAGTACTACTGCAGTTGATAGTGTCTGTCGTAAATTTTAATAAGTTGCTTCAACGCTATCACTAATCACTGGGTATCTATACAACTATATGTGTGATGGAGAAGCACTTGCGTCGCTAGTACATCGCGCACTACCCTTTCTCTTTTGATCTTCTCAAGCGACTGTTACAAGTTCGAAGAATCCTGGTCAAAGTTGAAAAGTATTAAGACTATTCCCTAATATTCTGTAACATACACATTGTACCTAAAATGGGTAGAGCTTCCGTTCGGGGGAATATCCGAAGGACAGCGATACATTTATCTCCAATGTTGTAGAAGGCACTCCACTTACTTAGGAAAACAATAACTTAATGAGATATTGCATTCATGTCGGAATCAATATTTTCGGCCCCAATCAGATGTGAACTTGAACATGCCAGGTCTGCGTCTTTGTCAGACTTAAGGTCTGCGAGTTGTTTAGCAGCACTTGGGCGTAATAGTCATGTAGGCCTGCTCCAACCAAGGGACTTCTCCGACGGGTAAAGGTACAGCAATGCAACATCACATTTACTTGTGTGACATTTGCTTTCGCAATCTGAGTTCATCGATCGTCAATTTAAACAGGACAATCAAGACGAATTTAAGAACGGCACGGAGGTCCAACATGCCTGTGGTATACTCAGAGAACGCCCCCGCCTGTGCTATCGGGTCATAATCGCTACACGAAAAACACTATTTTTCATTTCATGTCTCACAGAATATATAATTTGATATGTGTTATCATATATGTGTTAATGAAACAAATGTGGACAAAGTTCATGTATAGCGTTATTACAGCAAAGGCTGACCGGAAGGAGAAAAATACATGGTTCAGGGACTGTGAGAGTAATAAGAAAGATCACATGCAGTGCAATCATATTCCAATTATGTACCACCGAACAATAGTTAGTAGTGAGCTGAATAGACTTAAGAAATTACGAGTTGGTACTGTGGCATATTTGGCTGAGCTCTAAGAGAGATAAAGTGCTATTCTATTGGGACAGCTAGGGACACTTGAGAGGACAAAGAGGCACCTCATCGCCCTTTGTTCACCGCTGAACCTTTTAATCCCTCGAAACAAGCACCTCACAAGATTTGTCAACACCGCAGACAAGACGTAACTGATACTGGTAGCAAGAGCGAGTGCAGCTTAATCAGGATTGTTAGCTTGCGTAATACTGCTTTCTTTGTCAGGCTCTTTTTGTAATAAGAATAATGAGGTCACGTTGATGTGTAGCACCATAAATACTCGGATGATATACTCCAGTAGAAAAACTATATAACTATACATAAATTATGTGCATCGGGGACTGATTGTTTGCGTGTCTGGGGATTTAAGTCGACCATTTCAGATTAATGTCTATTAATATATTGCTCATCTCCTACGTGAAGTTTGTACAAGAGGTGGTGCGCGTGTAAACGTATGAAGTAAT